ATGTTTTTTCATTTAAAAAAATGTAGTGATCCCAGCTGTTTGTTTGCAAACACCTAGAAATAGAAGTGATATTTTCTTCACTTAGTTATTACTTTTCCTGAGATTAATGTCTCCTTTGAAATTAAGAAGCACTTGTATGATGTCACTAACTCAGTCTGTGGAAAATGCTGTTTTCAGAGGAACATGACAGTATGAGAAGTTAAGCATCTTCACTTGTTTTCCCGGCTACACAGCCGCTAAAGAGGCCATTCATGGCTGTTGTGATGCTTATCACTACTCCATTACTGCCACTGAACTTGTTTTAAGAGATCAAGAAGTAGTTGTTAATCTTTGCAGAAGCTTTGTGCAGGCAAATGTCATCCAACTAGCTGAACAGTTGCAGCAGACATCAAACCTTTTCAAGCTGTACAGAGTAGGTCTTTGTTGTGAGGTGCTATGGGGTGATTGAAATCTACCAAGTTTTGCTCTGGTAGGGTATGGAAAGCACAGGAAGTGAAAATACCAGAAGTGAATGTCTCTAAGAAAGGTTCCATATTATCTGCTTACAAGAAACACAGTATCTATACAACTGGTGTTGCCAACTTGCTGATAATTATGTTTCTGGACTGCCGGGCAGCTCATTCAGGCTCCCTAGCTTTTGCTGGGCTGGGGATGTACCTTCTACCCTCTCTTCCTGCCAGGACAACAGCTTTTAACATTGCTTGCTGGAGCCTGGACTTCCTCAGGTAGACTTCATTTCTGCAGAGGTGGAGATAAAGCAGGCAGGTACAAAACATACAGCAACTTCTCAGACAAAAAGTTAGGATTTTATATCATTGCCACAGGTATGCTAGACAAGGGGATACCTGCTGGATCCGCATTGTGAGGGAGGGTGGAAGCCAGAATTCAGCCCTTCATGAATTGTTGTCCCACAGGACCTGGCTGGAATTTCTTTGGTAACATGTTCCTGACTCCTGGATGTGACAGGGACACACAGTGACTTTTTGGAGTCACACAGGTGTAGGTACTCACAGTTTCCAGTACAGACAATTTTAGCCACATTAATTCCAGCAGACTTTGCTGATACATTTCTGTCTTTTTTTCACTTGAAAGGGTTTGATTCCTCCACCTTGAGTGTAGCAGATGGCTGAGACCTGCTCAGCTTGAGCTTCTAAATAGTAGTGCCACCCCATCTTTTCTGTGTATGACCCATGTTACACAAGCAGACCACTGGGGAAGGCCTGTCTAAAAGTATTCCATCACTATTCAGATGACAAAAACATCCTCTTTTGACTTTGATTTTGCTGATAAATACTTCAGAAAATACATGAAGAGGAGACATCATTCTGTTTTCCAAATATTTCTTGGAACAGGTCTTGTTTGGAGGTTCTATTCACACACTAGTATGAAGCTATGTTACACCCAGCGCAACAGGGAAATATAAAAGGTCAGTATTGCTGATTATATGAATAATTCTTCCCATAGCGAAACCTCAAAATTTAACAGGATCATTCATTTGCAGTGAAGAAGCAGATGTTCAGAGCCTTCCAGCTTGGCCCACCCTCTGGAAAAGGAATGTGCAATAAGAACTTCAAGTGTTTCAATTATCTACATATACTCATACACACATATAAGGAGACAGGCACAGCTTCTTGAACAAATCACTCCAAAGAAAAGCAATTTATTCCTTTAGGCACTTCAGCTCAGCCATAATGGCCATTCCAAGAATTAACACCATTGGAAACCATCTCTACCCAGAGAACAGAAAAACTACCAGACCTCTTTCCCCACACATAAGTAGCTGCACACACAACTTAGATTTACACAGTAAATCTTTCCCAGACACACAACTTACCTGCTGAGAAAAAAAGCACATGAAATGTCATGTTGCCACATTTGCTGATGACACTGATCATACAATATTGTAATAATAAAATTGTTTCAGCTGGAAAAGACCTCTAAAATCACAAAGCTCAATAGTTAACCCAGCACTGCCAAGTCCACCACTAAACCATGTCCCTAAGCACCGTATCTACCTGTCTTTTAAATACCTCCAGGGAGCGTGACTTGACCACTTCCCTGTGAAGCAAGTTCCAGTGTTTAATAAAACTTTTAATATTTTTTTTTTCCTAATATCCAATCTAAAAACCTCCTCTTCATGATTTTTGCTTGTTCTGCTTTCCTGGTGCAAAATAACCAATGGCCTTCTGTGACCTGCATGAAGCTTTATTGGCCTGAGCAAAGGGATTCCCCAGGCTTTGGAAGATGATGTAGACAGTATCATCATGATTCCTTTTTCCTTTCACTGAATGAAGCCTGAGATTGTTACAGCTTTTTAAAATATTTCACCTTACTAATAATAGTGGAAGGTCAGTTTTTAAGCTGAAATGATCCCTATCTCATAAGAAAACAGAAGTCAAGCAACTAGAAGCAAATTAAGATATGTCCATGTGTGGGGCTGGAAGAAGTAGTTTTTGAAGGTAAGTTCCTGTGTGATTACAGTTAACCCCAGTTGTCTGTGACAGTGTCAGTATTTAGTTTCAATTTCTTTTAGTTCATCTTGTTAGAAAAAGGTTGCTACTTTTGGTTTTGTTGTTGTTTTTTTTTTTCTACTAAGTACTAGAGCTGAGAGCTTTGAGTGTTTACAGAGAGCTGAATATATGACAAATAAGGTAGTGTTTTTTTTTCAGAAACCCCCGAATGAAGGTGGAAGTTACAAAATACTTCCTTGAAGCTAATAATCCTTTGTATTTCAAGTGCTGACTGGGCTGGTTTTGCAAAATATGCATTTCTTTTAAAGAACAGTTGTACACTTAAAATGTCTGTAGACTAGAGGAGGACAGAAAGCAGCAGAATCAACTAAAAAGGAGTACCAAATTATTAAAACAGACAATCAAGAAAACAAAACCCAAACAAAACAAACAAACAAACAAACAAACAAAAAAAAAGGCAAAACAAAACACACACAAAAACAAAGCCAAAACCAATCCCATGCTTAAAGGTTGACAAATAAATCAGACCTTGAGATTAAATAAATCAGCTATCCAAATTTGCAACAGAAGGTCTGTCTGGAAAGTTTCATATTATTATTTTTTTTAATAAATTCATTTAAATTCAATAATATTATTAATATTCCTTCTTGTGCCACTGAGGCTTTGGCAAGTGCTCCACTTGAAGTAACTGAATCATTTTACTCTGACTGCACTTCAGGAAGCAGAAATGGGAAGCAATACCCTGTACAGTACAGACAGAGCCAAGACAAATGTTTTATTCTCCACTTATTTGCGGTAGATGCAGTCAATCTTGAGTTCTGCATGAGTGGCTTCTGCACTCATCATACACCACTTGAAAAACTCCTGTGTTGTCAAAAATGGGGAATAGCATGCAAAATGACAAAAGTATCAGAAGAAATTACTGTGCTCCAACGACCAGCCTTTGAGAACATTGCCAGACACCAAACATCCAAGGATTGCTGTTGGTTTTGCAATTCATATTCATCACTTCCCTGACTCAGAGAAATGTTTTATTGCAGCGTTAGATATTGAGCCCCGATACGAGAGAACACCCAGTTACACAGACCAGTGATCTACTCAAGAGCAGATCCCTGATTTATCAAAACCTTTTAACCAAAGCATATATCATGTTTTTTCTATTCTTTTGCCTGCTAGATTCCATTACTGCTTAAAGAAAATATAGTTATTATTCAAGTACTTTGAGTTAAGTGACAGGAAGAAGATTTCACATGGACAAATGGCTTCTGTGTATGTGCTAAGCAGAGGATATGAACTGGCAGAAGGAACCTCCTGTGCTGTTCCACGTGGCTGTGGTTCTGAACACCACCAACCATTCGACAGAAAATGTCAACACCATGCCCCTGCCTTGTTTCAAGTACACACAGATGCACAATACATTGCTTTGAGGGAATAGCAACAGCAACACTTCCTAAAAGGAGCTCAGAGAGGCAGTAAAGCTTCTTGAACTCTTGCCAGAGAAGCCTGGTGCCTCAGACATTAGGGCTCAGTCATGATCTCCAGGCATGATTTTTCCCCAAGTTGAAAGTATATTCTTTACATCTAGCACATCAGGACAAGGCAATAACTTCAATGTTATCCAGCAAATTGGAGCATAAAACATGGATGAATGAGAAAGTTTATTTTTAGTTTGGATTCTCCTCAGTCTATTTAGAGCATGAAGCCCAGAGGCAACAAACAAAAAAAACAAGTCCCATGAAAATGAGTTTTGCATTAACAGCTGGGAAGCCAGTGGAGCACTGAAAAGCAGCAACAAAAGAGGTCTGGGGAGCTCCAGCCCACCCAGCTGGCACCACAGCTATACTGAGGTGAATGCTCAGTGCAAGCACACTTCCTAACCATGTTCCCTAACGCAGAAGCTCAGGTATGAGCTAACAGATTACTTGTAAAAAACATATACAAGGCTTGAGGCAATTAAAGTTAAGAGTCAGAAATTATACCAAATCTTTGAGGCTTCTTATGAACCCACCAAAATTTCCATTTCACCTCATTTAGCTCTTATTGGTCATTTTCTTTTTGATCAGAAACTTCAAGTAGACACAAACTAATACCCATTCTTCCCTGTCTGTCATGTCAACAGGTAAATTTTCTTTCAAACAAGGGGGAAATGGGCAAAACAAGCCCGAAACTCACAAGTCAAAGGGAAAAAAAAAAAAAAAAAAAAAAGTTAAAAAAAAAAAGTTGAGATATCTGTTCCTCAACTCTGAGCAATTGTCAGAGATTGAGAATTTTCACAGTGATATACCAGTATTTACATGATGTGGTGATTTCTGTGAACATCATACACTTCAGTAACTAGGATAAGCCACAGTAATGTCATGATAGCTGTATAAAAACATCATCATCTAAGGCATTGGCTAGTACAGCAAGATACAAGCAATCAAAACATCACAGGCATCTCCCAGTATAAAGATGAAGCCAAACATTACTGATGTTTCATATGCTGTGCAATATAAGATGTGTAGGCAGTGATGAAGATGGAGAAAATGCTCATTTACAGCAGAAGAACTTCACATTGTTGAGTGCTGTGTCATCCCAAAGCCCCTGTGGGGGCTCTACCTTGGTCTGGAGACCACATATGTTGCAGCTGTTGCTCCATGGGCCAAAACTACCCCATGATAGTCCATCACCCACTAGCACAGTTTCATCTGAGCATCTGAACTGTATGTTGTTGGCAGCTGTGTCATCACCTCCTCCTTGGGACATCTCTGTTCTCAGAGAGAAGGAGATCAGGTAGCCTCTGGGACAAACCTGGAAGCTGGTCCAGGTACCCCACCTGACAAAAAAGCAGACAGAGGAAGATATGGGCTCTGCAAACAGCTGCAAAGTGCAGCTTCTTCTTAGCATGCTGCCCTCAAGCTTAACAATTCCTTGCTCTTAGCAGTGACCAGCACAATACCCTGCTGCAATCTGGGGCTGCTTACTTTCTGCTTTTTTTCCTTCTCTTCCAAGGGTTTACTTTTCTCTTTATTGGTGTCTCATCAGGGAAACACCAGGAAGCCAAACATTGGATAGTTATGGTTCTGGAGGAAAATCCAACATCCTGAGCACATTTTATGATGAATCCTTGACTGACCTGTCTGACACATAGACACTAGGCAGCAGGCAGAACAGACACTATCCCATCCAGAAGTGCAATGTTGTTCACTTCAGCAGGCCAGGACTTCACCCAAACAATTTCTAAAAGTATGGTTAAAACTCCCTTTCCTTGCATCTGGCCCATGTATTGCATATTTCCAAGAGGAATTCTAACCCTCAGTCAGTACTTGTGCAGTTCACAGCGCTCTGCAGAAACTTCAAGAGCAAACAGAAGACAATCATTTGAAGTAATTGTGTTTAATTACCCTAAAAAATAATGAACAGAAAAGCCAACCACCTGTTTTAATTTACTTTATACTCCAGAATTATGCAGACAAAGCAAGGCAGAGAAGAGACCCCTGCAAATGATGACACCTATGGACACTTTGTGAGCTGATGCATGACAAACAAGGGAAAGAGCAGTGCTACTTACTTGCCCACCAAGGACTCAATGACTGAGTCATCCTGGCAATGCAGACGTAGGCCATTCAGAGCTGTGTCATCTCTTCCAAACTGGGAGGGCTCCACCTTCAGTAGAAGACACGAAGAAACAGAGGTAAAAGCAAAAGAGAGAAGATTCAGGAAAAGTCCTTGTCATGCCAGTCATAAAAAGTTACAATTCCTTTCTGTAGTAAGAAAGAGAAAATGCCTTGGAAAGCACAAAGGAAAAGATAGATGTCATGCTGAAAACTGTAATGTACTTACATAACTCTTGTAACATGTTGTTGTTTGTGTTTTATGACTATTAACTATTTCTGATCCAACGTGTAAAGCAGAGACTCTGAGTCCCAGGAGAGATGCTGAGGGATTCTGAAGGATGCTGCCTGTCTCCCTGACTCCAGCAGCAGATTTTGGCACTGATGTTGCTTCTTCCAGCAACATCAGTGGCATGGAGACCATGCATCTGTCAGTACAGTTCTATCCAGTTTGAAAGCAAAACAATTCTGGCAGTAACCCTGGTTTTGCTAAAACTGAAACCAGAGCAATTGTATTTTTCTTTACTGTTGTAACCATAGTGGCTGTGTTTCCTAGGCTAAATTTTTGAAAAGCCTCACAGTCTTATGTACAGAGTACCATATTCAAAAAAATCCTTAGACTCCAGAGAAGACCGTCCTGGGGGATGGAGAGCTGTGTAACAGGTTGCATGGACAAGAGATAGTGGGAAAGAGGAAGAATTTACCTTCAGTGCAAATCCATCAGCAGAGCCATAGCGGCAAAATTGACTCCTGCCCCATTTGCCCCAGTGGCTTCCGTTGGGCACAGTGAGGACAGAAGAGTGTTCACGTGCCCCTGTGCCCACCACAGAGAGGGAGAGGAGCAGGATGAGGGTAGCTGGCATGAGAAGTTCTGTCTCTTACACTCTGCATCTGCTGAAGGAGAGCTGAAATGTGGACAGGGGAATTTATACCCTGGCAAGGCAGCTTGTCTTTCCCCACCAGTCCATCAACAAACAGCACAGGAACAACAGTTTCCACCCAGGCAGTGACACAGCACTTGCTGACCCACAGTGTCCAGGAGGAGCTCCCTGGGAGCACAGAGAGTTTGACAGCCAAAATGCAGCAGACACTGTGGTTGCAGGGGTATCCACCGTTGCTGACGGGTTACAGTGAGATCTGTGTGCTCCTTGCAGGGCTCATGGTGCCATGGAGAAACTTGGCAGAGGCTTGATATCAATCCCTGCTGCTGGCTATACATACACTGGGCCATGGTGATATTTGCCTTTTGAGGGAAACTGTCATAACTGTTTTAGTTATTGCTGGATATGTGGCAAAACAGGTCCAACTATACAAAGAAACACTGGGGACATGGTTTGGAACAAAGCATAGGTAAACTCAAGACTTGTGCCTCCCAACACCCTGTGTTGAATAAGATTCTTGGTAAGCTAGACATATGTGTAGGCTATTTATAGTTTCAGTGTAGTTTTTTTTCACTGTGATTTTTATTTCAATTAAAAACACTGTGCTTTGTGACAAGATTAAATGAAGTCAGACATGCTGGGTTGCCTATAGTGATTCTCAGAGAACAAACAAAATAAATGACATTGGGAGTGCAGGTGGAAGACAGGTTTTTCAGAAAGGTGATGCTGAACTTGAGTATGCAGTCCTGAAAGATGTCAGGATGCAAGGAGAGGTGAATTTGAAACCCTGAAGACACTCTTAACATACAGATAAGCAATGCTCCCTAGGGCTCTAAGTCAGACTTGCATGGTCTAGCAGAGGCCATTTCTTTGTTCAACAGGCAAAGAACAGAATACATTCAAGGAAAGTATCTCAAAGCTCAGGATTCTATAGCAAGCTGGAGTGCCAAACCTCGAATTGTCAGAATAGAGAGTCTCCCTCTGCTAGGTTTCTCTTTCAAACTCTGCTCCACTCCCTCTGTTTCTGTCCCATTAAGAAGCAATGTCTTTCCCAGCCTCGTCTCTGCACTCCCGTTCTGCTTGTCAACCTTATATGCAGGTGGCAATGTCTGCAAAGAGAGATGATGGGGAAGCTGGATGAGCCTTTCAGTGGAAGGCACCCTAACACCACAGCATGTAATGAAGGCACAGCTTGCTTTGGTTTTTAAACCAGGACTTTCACCTTGCTTCTCCAAGGTGGTGTCAAAGCCTAATGGAAAGGTGGTTGCCCTCACAAGGACTGTGCAATCACAGCTGGTAAGCCAGGTGTGTTTGCTCAGACAGGGCCACATGGTGGCAACTGGGGACACCCAGACCTGCCCTTGGATTCATGTGAATGGAAAGAAGCAGAAGAAGTGAGAAAGAAATGGCTGGAACTTGGTGTTACCACCACAAAAGAAGCAGTAAGACCCCTGCATTCATTTCTTATTTGCTGGCCCCAAACCATCCCTTGGCTGTTTCACCCTTGGCAGCAGTGCTGCAGGCCCACAGCCTGGCAGGACCCACCTCCCCTTGAATTCTGCTCTGATCACGAGATTCCCATCTCTTCCCAGCACTAGAGGGAGGATCCTAGAACACAGGAGCCCACAGTGTGAGAGGGTGAGAGAGGAGAGCAGTGAGGCCACCTTTAGGGATTTGGCCACAAGAAATTAATCCTATGCACACTTCAGAGATCCCTAGGAAGACTAAAGCCCAGAACAAGCACTGTCACTGTGGGGCTTGGGAAGTATCATTTTCCCCAGAGAAAACACCTGGCAACCTGGGCAGCCAGAAGTGAGATGTTGTAGCCCAGGGACCAATGCTGGGTCCAGTCCTTCATCAGTTCTCTGGATGGTGGGGCAGTGTACACTCAGCAAGTTTGCTGATCACACAAAAATGGGAGAAGTAGCTGATACAACAGAGGGGCATGCTGCCATAAAGAGGGACCTCGAGTGGCCAGAGGAATGGGCTGACAGGAACCTCATGAAGTTCAACAAGTGGAAGGGCAAATTCCTGCACATGGGGAAGAAGAACCCCAGGCACCAGTGTATGCTGTTGGCCACCCAGCTGGAAAGCAGCTTTGCAGAATAAACACTGGGGGTCCTGGTGGACACCAAGTTGAACATGAGCCAAGAACATGCCCCTGCAGCAAAGAAGGCCCATGGTATCCTGGGCTGCATCAGACCAAGTATTGCTGGCAGGTCTTGGGAGGGGATCCTTTTCCTCTTCAACACTGGTGAGGCCACACCTTGAGTGCTGCGTCTGGTGCTGGGCTCCTCAGTACAGGAGAGACATGGACATACTGGAGAGAGTCCAGTGAAAGATTCTGAAGATTGTTAAGAGGCTGGAACCTCTTTCATATGAGGACAAGCTGAGACAGATGGGACTGTTCAGCCTGGAGAATAGAAAGCTCCAGGAGAATCTCATCCATGTATACATGGATCCAGGAGGATCTCATCCATACCTGAAGGGAGAGTCAGGCCCTTCTCAGGCGTGCCCAGAGACAGAATCAGAGGCAATGGGCAGAAACTGACACCCAGGAAATTAATCCTGAACACCACAAAACACTTTTTTTTTGCAGTGAGGGAGACTGAGCATAGTCACAAGTTCCCAGAGATATAGTGGAGCCTTCATCCTTGCAGATATTCAAAAGCTGTCTGGACAAGGTCCTGGACAACCACCCCTAGGCAGCTCTGCTTTAGCAGACAGCTGGACTAGATGATATCCAGAGGTCACTTCAACCTCAGCCATTCTCTGACTCTGCAATTCTGTGAACTGGAAGGAAGATATTGACAGAAACAACAAGGCAGCATAAATGCCATTAAGATAATGGCAGTGATGGGTTTTTTTGAGTGAACTACAGGAAGAAGGTAGCAGGTGCCCAGGGCCTCTGAGGAGGAGTGAATCACAGAATCTTAGGGGTTGGAAGGGACCTCGAAAGATCATCTAGTCCAACCCCCCCTGCCAGAGCAGGGTCACCTAGAGCACATCACACAGGAACATGTCCAGGTGGGTTTTCAATGTCTCCAGAGAAGGAGACTCCACAACCTCTCTGGGCAGCCTGTTCCAGGGCTCTGTCACTCTCACAGTAAAGAAGTTTTTTTTCTGATATTTACGTGGAACCTCCTATGCTCCAGTTTACACCTGTTGGGCCTTGTCCTAAGGTAGAAGGTAGACAGCATCCACCAAAGAGGTCAGTAAGTACAGAGGGGCAATTTTGGCTGAATGGCTGTGTGTTTGTGTGCTCCAGGCATTTCATACTTCTCCCACTCTGTTACCAAAGTACTGGTTGGCACCCATCAGCTCTCAGTGACCATGTCCCTCAGCAGTTCCAATGTCCAAACTGGACATTGCAATTAGGTATAAATCAGGTGTAAAACACACACTCTGACTCTGTAAAACCTCCCTCATCTGCAACTTGGGATGAAGACGAGACATCCTACAGGCAGCTGCATCCTGCAGAAGAACTCACTGTCTTACAGGAGCAGGACCTCAGCAGACCCAGAAATCACACCTATGGCCAAAGAAGCATGAAAGGGCAATAAAGAAACTATTGTATCCTATGAAAGTATGAATAATCAAAAGGTTGTATTATCTAGAAAAAAACAGGGGGGATTCTGACTGAGTGCAGACATTTACAGTGCAGATATCACCATGTGAAATAATCACCAAGGACTCCCTTTATAGCCACTGAGAGAGACAATATGACGACAACAGAGAGAAACAGCTACATTCACATGAACGTCTCCCTAAAAATACCCATTCATCTCTGCTGACTACACGGAGGCATGATCCCCATCTGGACTAGTTTTATAACCTCAATCTCCTTTTAGGCTTTAGTAGGCTAAAAACAGTAGTGCTGAATTAGAATCAGTTTTCAGAAATACTGGCAAATGTTTAAGAGAACATGAGTAATCAATTTATGTGCTGTCTGGTCCTCATTTTCTCATTTGTTAAATTGACTCAGATTAATAGAAAATAGAATAGCAGGGGAAAAAATGCAAGTGAGAGATGTCAGAAGTGAGACAAGAGCCAGGATTTTCTAGGTGCATGAGCAGAAAGATACTTTACAGCAAACAACAGACTAATTATAGCTATTTCTCAAATGTAGGAGGAGACAGTTTTTCATTAGTGCTGAGGTGTAAAGAAGATCTCCACTCCAAGGTCATGCTCTTCTTGGTATGGACTTGTTTTCAGGCAGCTTCCTACCTTCCTGTGACCTCCAAATTTAATGTAGAACTTTCCTCAGAAGCTGAGACAATTTGGTTACTTTACCTACTAGGCTGAGGATGCATTAGTGTTTTTTAACACAGAAATTACCATCATTACAATTTCTCATATTTTTCATTTCTGTATTATCAATAGAACTCCCTTCATCTGTGATTTCTGTATGTCTTCTTTCTATGGCCTTACTCTTTATGTGCTCATTGCAACTTTTGTTTACAATTACTAATAATTTTAACACATTCTTGTGAAAGTCTGACTGCTCTGAAGTGGCAGCTCTCCATTTCTTTCGGTTCCCAAGTCCTTTCTGCAAGCCAGCATGCCAAAACTGCTTATTTTTGCCAGAGTGCCACAGAACAATCTTCTCTAAAAATTATTAGAGAACTCAAGAAATGTAACAAAATATCTCTGCCTTCCCTGCAATCCTAAGGCAGGATCAGCCCACACCTAAGTGTTCCCAAAGGATGAAGGATGTTTGTCAAACCCATGCAAACATGGCCCAGATTCCTTAATCAAGATGATCTAGTGCTCAGTTGTCCTTGTTGTTGACTGGCTTTACTAACATTTGCTGAAATGTAAAACAACTGTCTTTTGTTGTTCATAATAGTATAGTTCATTCATTTCTTCCCTCCGCAACCATTGACACATATGAAGAGTATAATCACATCCTTCTTCAGGCTTATCTTCCTACTGAATAACCCAAATCCTTTCAGTCCTACTGCTTGTACAGTTTTCTAGAT